GAGGGCCTGTGGCATAGTGGGAAGACTGGCCTACCATCAGAAGGACCCAGGTTTGAATGTGGGCCCTGTCACCTTTAGGGGGAGCAGGATAGGGACCCCAGACTTGCAGCTACCTCTGAAATCCCAAGCACTGGAAGGTGGCCATGAACAGCCCTCAAGCCAGAGGGAAGGAAAGTGCTCCGCTCACCTGCTCCAGGCTGGGGAGAGGGGGCTCAAACCTCTCAGAGGAGACCCCTGCGGACAGTCCCAACATGAAGGTGGTACCCACCACAGGAGGATGCTCAGTTGGACACGCAGCATTTTCCCCTGCCCTCAGGTCCTCAAACCCTCTCAGCCCACTGCAAGACTGCTGGGGTGGTTTCTGTCCTAAACATGAGGCTGCTGAGGTCCAACCGGTGAGATGGCCTCCCCAACCACCTCCCGACCCTCCCTGAGAATCTGCTGTCTCCTTAGGTGCAGACTCTCAGGTGGGGATGCAGGATTCCCAGCAGGGGGCCAAGATTTTGTTGCAAGGGGCCTGGTGGTTCTCTCCGGTCAGCTGATTCTCCCTGGGAGACAGAGGTCTGAATATGCAGACATGACCTGACCAAGTCCAAGTGCAAAGGCAGAAGGACATGACTGAGCTGCTCCCAGTGGCTGTATGGCCCACTCGTTCAGTATGTTCTGTGGTCTATTTCTGTCTGCTGCCTGGCCCCCACCTTGGGGGAGCCCCACTGTGTGTGTATTACCTATATAATGAAGGAGGGGCCCTTTGGGGGTCTCCCCTAGCCTGGCTCTTTGCAGCCCCGTCTACCTCTCTCCCTCAGGTGACCTGACGTCCCCCAGATGCCTGCTCTGCAGGGCCAGTGGTTGACAGCTATGTGCTGGGACTGGAGGTTGAGAGAGGTCAGGTGTCCCCATCCACTGCCCTCCCAGGGGCTGGCTCCTCTGCCCCTAGCACTAATCTAATCAGGAAATAGCAGAGTCCACATTTCCCAGGGGTTATAAATAGCCACAGCAATTCAGGCAGCATCATTTCTCTGGAAAATGTGCCATGTTCCTCTCCATTCCTCACCCTCCCTTCTCTGTATTTAAATGACATCCTGAAATAGACTTGGTTTCTGGAGACTGCTGGCCTCCTGGGAGACAGAGCTTCATTGTTGGGCAGCCGAGGGGCTGGGCAGGCCTCCCTGTGTGGGTACCAGGGCACACCTGTAGAGGGGATCAGGAATATGGCAGTGGTGGGGACTCCCAGTAAAACTCAAAAGGGCCACCTTACCCAGACCTGGCCTCGGACAGGCTGGTACATGTGAAACAACAGCAAATGGTACCGGCAGGCTGCAGGGGGACAGGGTCTAGAGCAAGGGGCAGAGGGGAACTAGAGTTATCCAGGAAGGCTTTCTGGAAGAAGCAGGCCTAGCACTGGGCCTTAGCATCAGGAATTGCTTTTCCTATCTCAGATGCTCCCAGGGAAATGTGGGGCTTTTACCTAGCAGCTAGAACAGAAGAAGTGGGGAGGGAAGGAACGGGATTGTACTGGCGGCAGCCTGCCAGCTCCCAGGTCTGCCCATGGTGCCAGACCATGCACCAGGAGCCCTGATGTCTCCTTTCTACATAAATAATGGTAACAGCATTCGCCATGGTTTCTGAGAGGTGCAGACGCCAGGCCAGGGGCTTTCCACGTTATCTTGCAGGTTTCGCAGAGCAGGTGAATCAGGGAGAGTTGATTTCTGTCCCCCAGCTCTCACTTTCTAGATGTGTGGCCCTGGGCAAGTTCCATGTTCTCTTTAAGCCTCAATGTCCACATCTGTACAATGGGAGAAGCTATAAAGGCTTAAACCTCACAAGCTGTTTATGATGAATAATTGAGATGCTGTATATGAAAGGTGTATAATAATAGTGCCAGACTTAGGAGATGATCGCAATAGGTCATTTGCTGTTACAATTTTTCATACCAACCCTCTGAGGTAGGTAGGGACACCCCCACAAGGAAACTGAGATTCAAGGCGGTTAAGTGGACTTGCCCCAATTCACGTAGTTGAGTGGAAGAGCGAACATTTGGACTCAGATCGGCCTGACTCAATCGCCATACTTTGCCAGGACCATAGAATTGGCCTCAGGTTCATGCTGACTCAGAGAGAAAGGTGTGCATTAAAAGGGGTGATCACAGGAAAGGATTTGGGGGGCTGGGCGAAAAAGGGGAAGGGATGAGGAAGTACAAATTGGTAGCAACAAAATAGTCATGAGGATGTAAAATACAATATGGGGAATAGAGTCAGTACTATGGTAATCACTATGTTTAGTGCCAGGTGGGTACTAGACGAATCGGGGGCTTCACTTTGTAAATTATATGTCTAACCCCTATGCTGTATACCTGAAACTAATATAGGACAATATTGAGTGTCAACTGTAAGTGGGGGGGGGGAGGTAAAAAGTACTTATGAGAACATGATAGGGAAAAAAATAGGGGGTGGTCACTTTAGAATGTGTGTCCCCAGGGTGGCATCTTCCTCCATCGACAAAGAGCAGCTGAGATGTCCGTACTCCAGGTGGCCACTGCTGGGGGACAGGGTTGGGGGCAGACCCAGGCCCTGTGTCCAAGATCCAGCATTCTGGATGGGAGGAAGGTCCAGTGAGGGTTTGGGACAAAAAGAAGTTTGTGGGGGGAGGCTTCAGGAAAGTGAGGCCAAAGTTGGGGCTTCCTTGGGGACCCAGCAGGACACTTGGCCCCAAGCCAGGCTGGTAAGTCTCACACGCTTTCCTGTGTGTATGAGGGGGTACTGGGTGGGGTCGTGGGGTGCTCAGTTCTCGCCACACTGCTGTTCTTTTCTCCTGTTTGCAATTCCATCCCTCCTCTGGGCAGGAACTAATTGCTGAAGGCTGGGCCTGGGCCAAAGCTGGCCCAGATGCAGACCCCACACTCCATCAAATGCTTGGGTGCCACCTGTCCCTAGCGGCTTATGTGCGTGACAGCAGGTCACCTCGAGCTCTAGGTAGCCCCAGGGCCCAGCCCACCCTGGGCTGACCCGGATCCAGTTTTCCTCTGTGATGGGGGGGCCTGTTGGAGCAGCAGTGTTCAAACTGTGGTGCACACGTCCCTGGAGTGTGCAGAGACTTCCCCAGGGGTACATGGCAGGGAGAGTTTTAAGAGAGTCAATTGCAGATCCTCAACTTCCATGGGTGCAATTGCCAAAAAGCGATCTTGCTGTGAGGGCTTTCACCTTCACCCCTCTTCCTCTGCAGAGACCTCCTGGGGTGCCAGCAGAGACGCCCCGCTTACAACGTTGGTGTAGGTGTTGAGAAAGTGAAAGACTCTAATGGCCGGGTTACAAGTCCTTTCCCAAGTCCTTTCCCGTTCTTTGTTTTCTGCAAAACTGATGGAAATTGTCAGCTGAGAGGTCATTTAAAAGAAATTTTGATAATAGGTATATATGCAATTTAAGGCAAGTAACGAGGAAAGAGATTAAAAATGGCATACCATTGCTAGAATAAAACTGTTTTCAGCCCCATCTACTTATTTATGTGAACAAGATGTTTCATGCTTTACATCTTTAAAAACACTAAAACAGTTAAGAACAGAATTGATGCTGAGCCCTGTTTCAGCCTAGCAAAAAATGATATTCATATACATACATGAACTAAAACAGAAAAGTGTTTTAAGAGATGCAGTTCCACCAAGAGGGTACTTTGTCGCCGAATATTAAAATTTGTGATGTGTTGGTTAATTTTTTTGATTGTGTACTGCTGCTACACATTGTAATAACTAAAACAATATGTTTTGTATCTTTGGGGCCTTGTGGTCTTAGTGATATTTCCATTTATACAGATATTTTTGTTGAAGCAAAATAGAATAGGGTGATGAATAAAAGACCTTAAACTAGAAAGATACAAACTAGGACAACATTCTTTGAGAGAAGTAGAATAGAAGCATAAATTCAAGGAGAAAAAAACAACACAATTCAGGGTTTCTCCAAGGGAAAAAAAGAGCTTGTTCATGTCTTTTTTAAGTGGATGATGGTGGGTATCAAATCACTATGGTATTTGGATTTCACTGAACACATTTAAAAGAATGAGGTAACAGTTTTATTTTAAGATGTAAATATTTACATTGTTTTGGAAATTCTATTCCTTGCAACTATTTAAACTTGCTTTGGAAATATTCAGATGTTGATTTAAAAATGTGCCGGGGAGTGCATAGCTTTTCAAAATTATTTTGTGGGTGCACAAGAAAAAACAGTTTGCAGGCCACTGGGTTAGAGAAACGGAGTCTTGTCTAGTCCCCTGTGAGAGATGCCTCCAAGCCTCCCCTACTGTCCCCTCCTCCCTGCGGCTCCTGCCCAATTTGGGGGGTCACAGTCGCAGAATGTTAGCTTCCTTGGGGGCCAGCCACTTACCCCAAGTTATCTCACTGCATCTTCACAACAATCCAATGAGGTGGGTTCTGTTACTGGCACAATGAATAGATGAAACAAATGAGGCTTAGCGAGGTTAAAACTTCCCAAGGTCCCCCAACTGGAAGCGGCGGAGCTGGGGTTCAGACCCAGTAGCCTGACTCCGGAGACTGGGCCCTTCGCCTCTACATTGCACTGCTTCCCATTCAGCACCCCCACAGCACTGGCTATCTCCTCTCCTGTGGACTCCAGTTCAGGTGGTCAAGCAAGCTGCTTACTGTTTGGGAGCCTCAGTGTCCGCATCTGTGAAATGGGTGATCACCCCATCTCACAGGGGCGTGGTCAGGAGTGAATATGATGTGATGGGCAAAAGTGCCTACCAGCATGCCCTCCCTCCTACACAGAGTGGGACAGGGTGGAGGGCATCTTTCACTAGCCGGGGCAGGAGGGGCTGGAGACTGGAGCCACCCTGAAAGGTTGATTTCAACATGAGCATCAGGCCCCCATTCTGCCTTCCTGACCATTTTTTCTAGCCTATGAGCAGTTGGTGACCAGCAGAGAGAGCCCTGGCTTGGTCTCAGAGCTGTCATCTCTTCCTCACTCATGTTCTCTTTCTTTTTCTCTCCACAGTTGGATCCACAAACTGTAGAAACCAAGAACTGGCACACAGACGTGATAGAGATGAACGGGGTGAGCCGGAGAGATGGGGAATGTCTGCACAGTGGGTGGGCAGCCCAGCCTCCGGCTGATGTCCTCAGGGTGCTGTCCTGCCCCTGTCCCCTTAGCTCAGTCCCTCTCCTCTGCCTACACCCTTCCCACTCCCACCCTGCAGGTGTTTCAGTGAGCCCCTGGGTGCTAGAGATGGGCCTTGTTTGCAGTCCTGGGGAGGGGGACCCTCGTTTTGGGGAGCACTCCTCAAGCACTCATGCCCTGCCTCACCCCCAACCAGATCAAAGTGGAATTCTCCATGAAATTCACCAGCCGAGATATGAGCCTGAAGCGGACCCCATCCAAGAAGCAGACGGGCGTCTTTGGTGTGAAGATCAGCGTGGTGACTAAGTAGGTGCTGCCTCCGGTGTCCGATGCTGGCGTTCGCGGCCTGGGTCCCTGCCAGCCCCTGTCTTCCAGCCCTCCCTGACAGCTTCTGGCCCCTAATCAGTCACCCTCCAGTTTAATAGTCATGATGGCCAGTTTAGAGGCCAAACGTGGCCCGCCAGAGATGTATTCCCTGTCTCACATACTGCTTTAGGAATAAGTGAGCCAGCATTTAAACACTGGGAGATTGCATGTGAAAATCCTAGCCCGTCAGCTTCTCGTAATCAATGGGAAGACTTGACAACTGTAGGCCCGCATTTTGACTTGGCAGTGACAGGCTAGACTCCCAAGGGTGGCTGGCTGCCCTTTGGGACAGGGCGTGCATCCTCAGCTCACCACTATCCCCTCACCTCCAGGACCTGACCCACATCTCTTAAGTAGGTTACCTGCTGGGCCTTCCATAACATTTGAACCTGACACCTCTGTTCTAAGGAACATTCTGTCCTCAGCGTCTTTGGGCTCATCTCCCAAAACTTCCTCCCACCTTTGTCCTTTGCTGTCCCTCAGCACATGGGTCTCGGGCGGGCTGTGTGGGGTGGGGACGGCGTGGTCTTTCTCAGCCCTTTCCTTGCTCCCTACCTCCTGATCCCAGAGGCTAGAGCTCTTCAAGGCCAAGGTACACGGGGAGGGGGCTACATAGCTGTCGCTGGGGAGGCCTCCCTCCACCCTCCCTCACATGCTCTCCCTCTCCCCCTCCAGGAGGGAGCGCTCCAAGGTGCCATACATCGTCCGGCAGTGTGTGGAGGAGGTGGAGAAGAGGGGCATCGAGGAGGTCGGCATCTACCGGATATCAGGGGTGGCCACGGACATCCAGGCGCTAAAGGCCGTCTTTGATGCCAGTGAGTGTGTGAGGCCCAGCCCGGGCGGCAGCGGGGAGAGGGTGCTCCCGCAGGCTCATAGAGGGGGTAGGACAGCCCAGTGGAACCGGCAGGGCCTTTTCCATGGAGAGGCCCCAACTAGCCGATGTCAGAGGAGCCTTGGTCTGTCAACTACAAATCCAGTGGCATGGGGTGCACCATTTTTGAGTCCCTGTAGCAAGGGCTCTTCCTGCATTTTCTCCTGTAATCCCCCTCCCCTCTGATTTCTTGTCCATTGCTACAGATAAGGAAACAGGCTCAGAGAGGCCAAGTCACTTGCCCAGGACTACCCAGCTTGTAGGTTTTGAGCCTGACTTAAACTCAGATCTTTCTGACTCTGGAGTCTGAGTTCCTGGCTGTCTTGCTAGCTCCTGGGTACCTAGGGGCTGCAAGGAAAGGAAAGGCTCCCCTCTGCTGTCTCCAGGGCCCCAAGTGTCCTTTGGGAGCGGCGTTGCCGCCTCTAGCCGCCTCTGGCTGCACACTCCTCGGTAGTGGACTTGATCTTTCTGGCTCTTCCTTCTCCCATCTCATGAATTCAGGCTGCAGCAGCAGCTGCAGCATCTCTGGTAGTCAGGAAACCGGAACTGGCCAGGCAGTGCTGATTCCACGGGAACTGAGAAGGGGCCCATGGGTGTTCTGGAAGCCCGTGGGGGGTGGCTGGGGACGTGTGGACGCGCGGCTCCTCTGTGCAACCTGGAAGCTGAGGCATTGTCGGAAAGTGATTTTCAGTGTAAAAAATGTACAATGCCTTCCGGAGAAGAGCTTACCGGTAGGGAGACTCCACCAGGAAGGAGGGTATGTGACACGTGGCACGAATGTGGATCCTAAACTCCAGCTGATGAACTGTGCTCCCCTTGCCCTCCCCCACGGAGCTGAGTCACGGACCACCTGTGGGCACTACCTGCATCCTGCCTTTCTGGGGGAGACCAGACCAGAGACGGAGTGGGTGGGGGCACTGCTGGCGGGTGAAGGACGGATAGGGGATGGGATAGAGCTGCCCAGCCTGCTGAGGGCTGCGTGGGAGAGAGGTGGCTCAGGCCCATGTGGCCCCTGACCTCGCACCTCCCCTACAGATAACAAGGACATCCTGCTGATGCTGAGTGACATGGACATCAATGCCATCGCCGGCACCCTCAAGCTCTACTTCCGGGAGCTGCCCGAGCCCCTCCTCACAGACCGACTTTACCCTGCCTTCATGGAAGGCATTGGTGAGGCTCTGGGGACCTGAGGGCTGGGCTGCGCCAGGCCTCCCGACCAGCAGAGGAAAGGGCTACTTAAGAGCCTGTGGCTTCCCTTGCTCATTGATCTGCCCAGTGCACCAGGGCACATGGCTGAATGGCCAGCGGGGGCGAGGCGTGGCCTGCTGGGGCCTGAGCCAGACGCTGGACCCTCTCTCACCTGCCTCTCTTCCCCCTTGTCCTATGGGCTGCCCTCTGTGCTTCCTCCTTGGACACTGACCTTCTTGCTTGGAAACCTGGCTGTCCAGGGAAATCTACCCGGAGGTGGGTGGTCAGGGGTCGGCACCCCAGAGCCAAGGAGAAGCCTGGTTAGCGCTGGTGTGCACTTGAGATGGCTGGTGCCGAGCCTTCCAGAAGGAGTACTCTCTCATCTCTCACCTGTGCCATAGGTGGGAAGGCAGCTGAGGGCCCTGGCTCGTGGGGCTCTGGCCTCCCCCTACCTGGGCCATGTCCGGTCCTGGGTGCATCCCTCCTGCCTCTTCTCTTGGGGCAGATCAGGGCTTCAGCCAACACAGGAAATGAGGAGTGTGCCCACGGAGGTCAGCTCACTGCCGTACTCCAGCCTTGGAGGTGGAGAAAGAGAAAACATTCACGCCAGTGTCATCGTTGCCTTAAACTTAGCCTTGCATACTGGGGATGTAGAATGGCACCAGTTGCAAAGGTGTATGCAGTGAGGGGAGGAAGGGTGTCTGCTCCCCACAAGCCTGCCTCCTGGCTGAGGTACAGGTTGTGGGTGGGGCCTCCTGTAGGAGCCAGCCGTTAATAGCCCACCCTCGGGAAGATACCCAGCCCTTCCCTGCAGGGTCCGTTTCCCTGACCCCAGGCAGCCTGGTCTCTTCCTTAGGGTCCCACAGCCTCCTGACTAGGGGGCGCTGACTAGGGTCTCCCTGCTCGGGAGCCGAGCCTCACCCTAACCCCTTTTCTCTCCACAGCCCTGTCAGACCCTGCTGCCAAGGAAAACTGCATGATGCACCTGCTCCGCTCCCTGCCCGACCCCAACCTCATCACCTTCCTCTTCCTGCTGGAACACTTGAAAAGGTAAGGGCAGGTTGCCCAGGCAGGCCCCTGCTGGGGAAGACACACCTGCTGTGGGGCCCACCTCCTCATGGGTGCAGGTCTCTGCGGGGCCATCCATAGCAGGATGAGGGTTTGCTCTTCATATTCTTGCACTCAGAGTCTTCTGTTTTGAGAAATATTTGGGTCCTAAGAGCAACCTCAAATATTGGCCATAGAATGCTTAGAAAGGCAGGGTTACAGCCAAGGAGTATAGATGGGCTTTATAGTCTGTGGGTCCGTCAGTCAACTTAGCATATTTTATATTCTTCTTTTTTTTTTTAGCTGAGCCATCCTGCCACCTGTTGGCAGCTCAGTGGCAGCTCAGCTCGGGCCAGGCATCGAACCGCTGTTGCTCAGAGCTCACACTCTTGAGCGAGCTCTTAACCAACTGAGCCACTCGGCTGGCCCCAACTTAGCATATTTTAAATGGAAGGAATAGACAGCATCAGGGTGCACTGCAGGCAGTAAGCACACGTGCATCTCCTGTTTTCCTGTTTAGTTACGTACACCCATGTGTACTTCACAATGTAAAGTGTGTTTTTTATTGTGGGTCATGTGCAAAAAAGTTTGAAACCCTCTGGTCCTGACCACACCTCATCTAACAGATAAATAGGGAAACTGAGTCCCCAGCCCAGCAGGGACTTGCTGTGCTTAGCAGGGCTCTGTCCTTAGAATCCTCATCTCCCAAATCCTAAGCTAAGCCCCTTCCCACCTTCTCCCACACTCTTTCTTTAATCGGGTCAAACCAGGAGCTACTCGTTGATGCCTGCAGCATAGTTCAAAATGAAACGAGCCCCAAAGGTAGCCTTATCACTCACTTTTGAGCCTAGGACTGGTCTGGGGTAGGAGTGGGGGAGGAAAAGTCCCCGGGTGTCCCGTAAATCTGCCACCCAGGACTGGGTCGCCGAGTACTGTGGGCCAGGTCCTCCCTGAACTCCAGCCCTCCGGCCCAGGCTCCCAGCAGTGGCTCTGCCAGGCCAGGCTCAGGAGGGCCAGCGGAGACCTGGAAACGCTGTTTTTCCCATCATGAGACATTTTCCCTCTGGTTTGGCCAGGACCAAAGCCCCAACCAATTCCCACATAGTTTGGCGAGCACTGTGGGGAGGACACACAGAGGAGGAGTGGGAAGGGAAAATTCATTATGTTTTCTACCCTGGGAACTGGGCACAGTCTGTTCCAACATCTGGACCCCTG